AACACTTTGCATAATCGAGGGACGCGTGTGTTTAAATTGCCAATTTAGTAGCAAATTGCTTATTTCTTCGGATGAGCTCGTCAGATATCAACTTCACAAAGTAGACTTATCAATTCCGAATTAGTTTTCGATGTATGAAAAAAATGTGACTAGACACAAGTGCAAATAAATCGATGTTTCAAAATTTATTGCCCAACACTTTGCATAATCGAGGGACGCGTGTATTTAAATTGCAAATTTAGTAGCAAATTGCGTATTTCTTCGGATGAGCTAGTCAGATATCAACTTCACAAAATAAACTTATCAATTCCGAATTAGTTTTCGACGTGTGAAGAAAAATATTACTAGACACAGGTGCGAATAAAACGATCTTTCAAAATTTGTTGCAAAATACGTCGATCACTACTGAATATTAATATTGGTTTACGCATCACTCTTGCGAACTGAAGTGGGGCTTTATAAGAATTACACGCGGAGTATCAAGATCGATTCACTTCACTTAACAACCGCCATGATTACCGATAAAATCTCCTCTGTAATCTGACGCGACTAACGCCTGCGGTAAAGAGAGATTTGAACACAAAGACGTTTTATTTTTTGGGTACGTACGTTCGAAAGATACGTGTGTATCGCGCACCTGATGGAAATCCTATACTATATTGACACGTGATCAAACACAAGCGGTGGTGCCCGGTTACGGCGATTATTTGTCATATTGCGAGACACGTACAATCCACGATAATAATATTAACGAGTTCTCGGTAAAAATCGCTGGAAAATCCGAGGTCGCGGGCGAGCAATCGATGAATCGATGATCGGGAGACGCTTACCTTTGCACACAACCGGATCAGTGAGACGCTCGTCGGGAGCACGAGAGGAACTAATTCCTAGCAGGTCACATGGACGAGGCAATAGTCGAGCATCGTTATATCCTTTTCCTTCCGACTTTCGCTTTGAAACGTGCCTGCCACCGGTCTTGGCGATTTCGGGGAAGATCGACACGCGCGACAGAGGAAAATCCTCTGGTAAACTTTGAAGCCTCTCAAGACGAACTCGTTTTATGAGCGCTGGACCCGGTCCTCGCGCTCGACTATGCTGCCTCACGGGCAATCTCAGAGGCCGGTCGCTCTCTCGCTCTCTCGCTCTTTCTCTCTTCCCGTCTTCCATCGTCTCTTCAGCTCAGTCGCACCGCGGCTGGTACCTATGCGGCTCCTCTTTCCGCCCGTGTTCACCGTGTCTCTATCTCACGGGACTTGTACTCCCGCAAGATCGCTGCTCCTTGGGCCCCGTTGTTGCCAGATCGTCCGTGAATCACACGGTCAAAAAGCGTTCGCAATGCTACATTCCCGAAGAGCTACGGCTCTTCCGTCTCTTCGGCTACCAGCGCGCTTTTTGCAGTTGCTCGCGCACGCGAGTTTAATAGACTCGGTATTTTGTTTATTTAAAAATATGAACTAGAAGCCACATTTTTCCAGATGGGTCGAGATTATAAAAATAATTGACGGTATATGCTAAGTCGCAAAGAATTCAATTCCATCAAGCGATTCGATCGATTTGTAACCGCATTTCATATCTTCTCAAAAGAAATCCCGCCTATCTCTGAATTTGATATTCGGCGACAGGAAATACTGTTACTAATACCTTTTCGGAAATGGCTTCGCATACTTTGCGGTTTTGCGGTGAAGGGATAGAACTTGTACGTTGCGGTTCCGATGCGGCTCAAACGAGAAAGATCGTCTTGTTCATTTTTACTGTCGTGGCCGTTCAACTTTCCTTCGATTTGGAACCAATTGCTCGAAACCGCGGAGCCAGTAGTATGTGTTATATCATCACTGCGATTTCGGAATTCTTACTCGCTGAACAGTATAATTGAGATTTTTCTTTTTTTCTTTTTGAAACAAACAGAATTGCTTGTGCTTATAAAAATTAACATTTTGCGTTCCTTGCAACGTTAAACACAAATAATAAATAAAATAATGAATAAAATTAAAACTAATATACATCGAATTATATCCACGATACAATTACGATTTACGATTTTTTCTTTTTCTGATCTCTTTGCGCTTACGTGAGTCACTGCTTCCTTTTCCTGCGAATCCGCAGGTACTGCAGCTGCGACTGTAGGAACAAAGGGAAAGCCCTTCGAAGATACACCGAAGTATCAAAGAACCGATCTTACCAGATCGGAAGAAACCATCGGTCGACGGTAAAGCAGGCTTAACATTTTCACGATCCTCGATAGATGTCCCACATTGATCGCATCGAATAGATCGCTCAACAAACACGGATAGTCTTGCGATCAGTAATTTTAACACTAGGCGATTTACAATTAAGATATCAGATATTAAAACTGGGCCGACAATGAGCAATTAAATATTATTACAACATTCTCAAATAGTACAGGACTTCTTTTACTTGATTTGGTCTCAGGAATATGCTGTTGCAATAGTGTTCCAATTATTGAAAATTTGTGGGTATTGTAACATACAAAAAATTTACATACACAAAAATTTTCAATAATTGGAGCACTATTGCAACAGCATATTCCTGAGACCAAATCAAGTAAAAAAATTCTGTACTACTTTTCCCTCCGACAAACAGTCATCGAGATATCATAAGCTAAACATTGAAAAAGTTACAAATTTTCTCTTGAATATCTTAAAAAGTGTTAGGCAAATAAAAAATGTTTCGGACAAAGGTTGTTCATATTAATTAGTAGAATAAGATAGTATAATAAATAATAGGGGGTTCCATTAAAAAAATTGAAGGCGACCTTCATGTTTTCATCAAGTCCTTCATCAAGTCAATGGCATCACCTTATGTCCCCCTTCGAACCAAACAACTTTTGTTTGAAACGTATCTTTCATATTTTTGGAGATATTTGCGTGAATTATTTGAAACGAGACACCCTGTATATCTTTTATTATTTTTTAAATATTTTATATTTTACTAATTAACTTGATTGAACGTGTGCAAAATATTCCACAATCACTGTATGATTACCTATTCTGGTGATTAATTTGAATCGAAAATATTAATATAGAAATATCGGGATCGTATTATTTCGAGTTATAAGCAACCAAAGTTAATCAAATCGTGTTGTTTGCAATGTTTGGGTTTGCTTACGTGTATACGTTTATAGCTTATTGTTGATTTCTATAATAAACATAACTTAGATACGATGTTGATTTACAGTTCAGCCAGAACATGATTGGAGCTGATTTATTAGGTTTCTTATATTTGGTTATTACATATGTCATAACCATCAGTTGGTACTAACAAGTTATTAATAGCAGATTTTAATTGTTTAATCCTTGTATTAAATAAAAATTTGAACAATTGATTAATCAGTCCATTTAACAAGTTGATTAGTTTTTTTTTATTGAGAAGACTGCAGCAGAATGGATAAAGATGAAAAAGGGAATAACGAAAATATATAATAGAATAAATGAAAAATTGAGAATGAGAGGGAACGATTGGGAATAAACGCGATTTTATGATTGTAAAGGGAAATAAATTTTAAAGAAAATGGATTAAAAGTGATAGTGATTAAGTGAAATTTAGCTGAAATGAAAGCAATGAAAAATAACTAGGAAAGTATTATGTCAAATGACGCGCGCATATGTTGTCCTAGTAATGCAAATGAAACGGATTACTATTTATTTATATCATAATCAGTACTTACCTTATTAGTACACCAAATATTTTGTTACGGCAGCCGTGATACGCGGAGTGCGGTGTCCGTTCTCTCGCATGTTGTTATGTATACTTGCTGCTATACGTGCGGTAAGACTCGAGCAGATAGGAAGCAGTGAAGCTGTCCGTCCCGTGTCCGCTTATTACACCTCGCAACGCGATTGTTTTCCTAAACAATCACCAGCGTGATAGCTCTTTATAAAATTTATAACATACCTCTACAAATCTATTTTGTAACCACACGGAGAGAATTGTCTCTTAAAATTTACCCTGAAAATCATGTGATCGTGGAACAATGTGGAAATTTGGAAAAAATTTCAAAAACTTTCATCAAATTTTTACTAGTAAAATATACGCTAAGTATAATTACTAGTAAAATGTATGGTAAAATTTAAAAAAACTGTTATAAAATTCTTCGAAATGCCACGTTGTCCCACGATTACATGATTTTTCGGATCAATTTTTAAAAAAAATTCTCACCGTGCAGTTTAATTAACCAATCCTGCGGTACTAACAGTTCCTGATGTCGATGCAAGTCACCGGATCAAATACGTCGCGACTTATTCGTTTAAAATAGATCGTAACGACAGGGGAATGCCCCGCCGCGATATTTACGGGCGATAAATGCCTTTTTAAGTGACACTTGCACTCGAATATAGACACGTCAAATCGCATCGTGCGATTTTATCTATTCATTTTTGGATTATAAAATATGCAAGATAATATTTCAGGCACCTAATTGAGTACTTTAAACTGGGAATGTTACACCGACCGTCTATTTACAATTTATTTGAGGCACAAAATATATTCGACATGGATCTATTTGACGTGAGTTCAATATTTCATATACATTTCAGAAATAACGAATTGTCCGGCGCATGCTATTTGCTTTTTTTTATCGCACAGCGTATTATTAGATATACACGTAATCACCTTGTGATTACGTTCATACGGCGAGACTTGAGTCAGCCAGCCAGCAACGTAAGATTGTCGCATCACTGACCGCGTCGAGATGCGATCGCGATAAGTACGGAAATGTAACCATTCATCGCGAATGTGTTACAATCTATACGATAAGTTAATTCTCGCAATCAATGATCCGTAAATGTATTACGAGTAGCGTACAAAGAAGTAAGAAGAAACGAAAATATAAGAGAGAAGGAACATAGGACAATGTCGGAGCAACCACTAATTTATAATATTTATTATTCCACTTGTTACATGCAAAGTTAAATACTCGTTAGTTATTTCACTCGTGTTACAATTATTTATTGAAATATTAATTATTTTCGACATTGTTGTATAATAATTTGAATATATTTATATTTTCTAGTTTACGTTGCAATTTCGTGTATCGGTGAGTGGTAAATTATATTTTATTTTAATTTGAAATAATGAACCTATAAAAATTTTATTAAATGTACGTAAAATATGTACATGTATGAATATAATCAAATCGAATTGAAAACGTGACGATATTGCAAATAAATGTAACATTTATAGATTCAATGCTTAAAAATGGATAGGCTAAAAGAAATTAGAGTCAATATTTAATCCTGAAATACGTGCAATATGTGCAAAGTAATAAACCACATTTAGAAGTATGGATAAAAAATTTATAGGAAATATCTCACAGATAGCGTAAGCTTGGTAAAAAGGGACAAGCATAAATAATAGAATGGTTTTTGTAAATAATTATTTTCATATTTGATGAAGATATTACCATTTTTTTTATCAAACATTCTATTACGAGTAAAATTATTGAGAAATGTACTTGAGAGGGAACACAATAACACATGAAAACGTAATATAGTTTATTTCTGAACTGTTTGGTATCGAATATAATATAATTAATTAAATATGTTTAAATAAGTAGTGAAAAATAAAAGTAAAGGGAAAGTACAGCTATAATTAACGGAACAGCGGGATTTTTTAAATAAAACTTTTAGTTTAGTTATTTCATAATATTCGCATGTTGTGAACACAAAGATCGGAGCCAGTTATTTATGTGATTATTATATTTACGCAAAATACAAAGAAATAAACTAATGCTCAAATTGCAATACAGGACAAAAAGAATTAGATAATATATAAGTGTGTGTTACGTATTGGCATAACTTATTTAGTATCCGTATTTAAAATATGAAAATATGAAAATTAGTTGAGTAATAAAAATCTACATTAAATAAAACGATATCCAAAATAAGTCAATGATGTAAATAATACATTCATATTTCCGCATCAAAATTGTTTATCCTTATTAATCGTTAAAGTACACACTATTAAAATTTGCAGTGATTGCGGGATACGCGATAACCTAAAAATGATAGTTACGAATGATTAATATAATTTATGATCGGCATTAGATGGAGTGCTAATATAACGCAGCTTCGTTAGATAAAGATTAATCTGTAGGCGCGCAAAATTAATCTATAAGTAGAATTCACGCCACATCATTTAGACTGCGATGCGCGATATCGCTAATGCTCAAGCGTTTTTCCTATAGCAAAGTCACGGCTGATACTGATATCACGTAATTATTACGGACAGACTTAATGATCCTCTAGGACAAGAACTAGTGAGAATTGTTTGCAGCCCTGTGAATTTATTCGCTTAACCGTTAACGTGGTGCCGCGATGGAAATTACGAGGAACGGAGATAGGTAAAAGGGAGAGGAGATAGAGATGAAAGGCCAGGAGAAAATGTCTCATATAGGATTTTCCTAAAACGGTTCGGTCTGACAGAAGAGGCCCAGCAGACGCGGAGAATCGTTTTGCATAATAGATTCCGTGCCGCTTGTATGCTAGTGCAAATAGAAACGAATTCCTCGGCGCATTCGACGTAACAATCGAATCGGTAATCAAGCCGGCCTCGATAATCGAATCAGACCGGGTACACGTGTAATTGAAATTTCACAGTCGACCAGCGCAAATACCATGGCGCGCAGCCATTCTTCGAAATTACGCTACCAAATTTCGTTTTGCTTGTCGGCGACATCGATCAGCAGGATGAGTTACGCTCGCGGGAATTCCAATTGTAAACGCGTTCGATTTAAAGACTAATATGGAATACATGGGTCAATAAATGGTAATAGAATACTAACCAAGGAAACATTTGTCGGATATGCCGAAAATGAAACCGGG